GTGAAATATATTTATGTTTGTGGTTGTAATGTGACAAAATATGGAAAAGTTCAAGGGGTATGAATACTTTTGCAAACCACTGTAAGCACAAAAAGTTTACATTTGCAGAATAGCTGAAAGAGCAAGATAGCTGTAAAAGCTGTAAAAAAAAAAGAAAGAAAGAAAAAAAGGCAGAAGAAGGCTGAAATTAGCCCATAAAAAACAGAACAAAGGAGTAAGTGTTTGTGTGTAATAAAGGTTGAACTATTTTGAAGGATTTTAAAGATGTTCATGACAGCTATATTAATTTTCCATGAGAACAAAAATGGCAGAAAAAGCTAAATATTTCAACAAGTATAAATTGCTGACATACCAAAAGTCATAGCTGGAATTAATGTCCTTTGATGTATGAATTGCTGAAATAGCACAAATATTGTGGAACGAGATCCCTGTGATACAACCTTTATTTAGACTTTACCTTTAAAGCTCATGTGAAAATCGCCACCAGAATGTGAAAGGTGGGCATTAGTGTTTCTGCTTGTTCATGCATGTTGATGTTTGCTTTGACTTTTAGCAAAATATCTCATGAACCACTTGACAGATTGTAATGAAACTCACAGAAGGCTATTATTTCATGAACAGAACGGGATAGCTGACTAACTTTTGGATTCATTTATTCCAGATGGCCGCCACAGACAACTTATCTTTGTAAACAATAATGGATATAATTCTGTCAATTTTACATTTTTTCCCCCTAAAATTTAGCGTTGTGGTATCTGATTGTCATTTACAACACATACTCTGATTGGTAGTCATTGTGCAAGACCTTTGCTTGAAACTTTAGTTGTAAATGCTGCAGTCAACACAGTTTTTCTGTTAGCAAAATATATCATGAACATGGATTTTAAATAAATTTTTGGAAAGTAATCACTAGATGTAGGCTACATCTTCATCTGATTAATTTTTGGAGATAACTGAACATAAGATAGCCGCAGCTAATGGATCTTAGCTAACACAAACCTGACTCCAGCGCCTTCGTTTTTACACATATTGAGTTATTGTGGTGGTACTAGCTGAGGATCACATACAACAGTCTTTGAGGGCTAACAGATCATACTTTATCACTTGAGAGTGGGTGTGATTGAATTTTTCAGTGTTTGTAGTAAAGGTCATCTATTCAAATGTCCTGCCATCAAGATGGGTTCTGTGTTTGTGAGAGAAATGTGTTTTGGTGTAAAATTTGTAGATACATTTCCAGAGCCGGCTCTTGGCATAGGCGAACTAGGCGGTCGCCTAGAGCGCCATCTGCTGGAGGGGAACTGCAGAAGAAAAAAAAGTAATTATTTGTAATCCCTGGTTGTAACTCTGCTCAGCGCCCCTTTCATTTAGCTTTGTGTTAAAAACTATAATGAAGTATTACAGGAAAAATAAACTACACTACCCATAAAACATTCCCCCCCCCCCAATGCAGCAATCACCCCCACCCTGTCTCATTTGATTGACGTTGCACTGACTCGTCCTGCTCTGACACTCTGATGGGGGAGGGGCTAGTAGTGCCTCTCAGGCAGCAGTTCGTGTTGACAAACTCAATAACAAGTCTGTATTTTGTTGTCCCATACATGTCAACCTCTTTGGACGTTTACCTGGATAAAAAGCCTAAAAAAATCCATACAACTCACACCCGGTGGGGGGTTGTCAGCCTCGCTGGGGACATGAAAGCACCTGCTGCGAAGCAGGAGGAAAGGAGAGCGGAAAAATTCTAAACTTATTTCTAGCGGCAGAACAGGTTGGAAGATGGCTGTTTAATGTTATTTATTGTTTTTTAAAATCATCCTACAGGCTCTGACATGTTAGATAAATTTGAAAATGAGGTTTTGAAAGATCCGTTAGACTTGAAAAAATCTGTGAGATTGCCCTATACGTCCGTATACCTGCAAAATGACATAAAAATCTTATAACTTACGTACAATCTGTACAAGTTTACATGTGTGTTGTTATTTATTTGCTTTCTGGGAAAAGCAAATAAATCTAAGTTTACCACAGTACCTTACACTGTCAAACTTGTTTTTAGGGGTTCAAATTGGGTTGGGTGGGACGGGGTCGGGGGGTGGCGGCTTCAACTCGCCCAGGGCGCCAAAATGGCTAGAGCCAGCACTGTACATTTCAAACAAAAAGCAGAAGAACTTCTGGAGATGCTGATTGGAGAATCATTATCCAAAGTGAAACAACTTCTATCTACATGAGCTGAAAGGCCACTCAGAGAGGAAGAAGCCATTACTCCAAAGGCAACTGTAAAAAAGACAGATTACAAATTACAAATTCACAGGGACAAAAAAAATCATATTTGGAGACGTTTTCTGTCGTCTGATGAAACTGGACATTAAGTGGTTGTATTGATCATTGTCGCATTTGGTTTAAGAAGAGGGAAGCTCAAAGCACAACTGTGAAGTACGGTGGTGGGAGCATCATGACGTGGGGCTRATTTACAGCACAAAACAGATGACAACATGACATCTCGAGACATGAAGCTTGAACACAAACGGGTCTTTCAAATGGACAATGACCATCATTGTTGTGACTTAAAGACAGCAAAGTCGGTGTTTTGATCTCAGATCCATCGAAGGTTTGTGGGCAGATCTGAAAAAGGCCCAATTACCCGATAAATGGGAYGCAGAAAAATAAAGATATATTACAGCTTTTAACGCTCCTTAAAATCAGCTGCAAATGTTTGCACACAGGCTGGATAAGAGCTGCTGTCGGGCGTCATGGACAGAACAGCAGACCGTGAAGAGCCAAGATAAACAGGCGCTACCGTATCGGCCACAMGACAAATGTGTTCAGACCGATCCGACGAGAGTATGCCCGTATAACAAGCGTCCTTTAACCATGCCAATCGTTTAACTCTTCCCCCTCCAAATGTCTCTAAATGAAACCACTGGTATTTTCGAGCCATCGAMACCGTGAGTCATTTAATTCAATCTTTGGACATTTCCAGCATAGGATGACTTTCCCTAAAACACTCTACACCTGCTTCCATAAGAGCGTGTCARACATTGATCGGTGTACAGTCTATGACCTCTGTCTCAGACCGTATTAAAAGCTTTATCACCGTTTGAATAATTCATGCAGGACAGATGAGTGTACAGACTGACGGAGTGGCTTACGGCAAAATGCCCGGACAGGAATTCCCGGAGACCAAAATGTTCCGTTTCTGAAGAAAAAGAAGTTTGAAAAAATTACAAATTAAAGTTCAATTTAAACACTTTGAAATAAAAATCCAAGGTGAGAGACAATGACAAATACRTTCCACAAAGACAGACTAAAAAGAGCTTTACTAGAAGTCTTTATTTTGATCTGTTTTCTTAATTCTAAGCCTTCTTAATAAAATCCTGTTTGAAATGTAGGATAAGACGTGTGATGAAGACATGAAGCTCATCGTGAAGCTAAAATGATCTGCCATTGATCTGAACCCTCCGATGAAAGGTGAGTGTTAGTAGTTTTAAACATGTCTGTGTGTTTGTTAGCAAAATATCTCAAGAACCCCTTGACAAAYRTAAATATAACTCTCAGAAAATAATMATTTGATACATATCTACAGCTGATTAATGTTTGGAGTCAATGCGATTCAAGATGGCGGTCACAGCCAACTGAGCTCAGCAACCACAGAACTGTCTTTACCTCAATTCATCTTACAGATACCGAGGAAAAAAATCGGTGTGGTGCTGAGACCAACCTCTAACTATACTCTTGGCTATAACAAATCGTGCAGTTTTCTTTTTCTGGGGTTGGGGGGTGTTAAACTTTTGCAGTTTACTCTTGAMGTGAGTTGCGTCTGTCTGTTGGCAAAACTTCTCATGAGCCACTGGATGGATTTTGATCAAACTTTCAGCAAAGTTTTAATAGACGTGCATCTACAGCTGATCAACATTTACAGTCGATCCAGCTTAAAATGGGCGCCACAGCTAATCAAACTTCACCAAGACAAAAAATGGCTATAAGTCCGTCGAATTAAAAAATGTTGAGCTAAGATTTGATGTAGTAGTTGAGGGTTTTTCCACAACACACACAGCGTGACATCTCGGGATATCACTGTAAAAAAATGAAATGTTGGATTTACTTAACCATGTTATGTGACCTGGTTCCACTTAACTGAGTTGAGTAAATTCAAAGCAATATACCAGTTTTTTAACCAAAGAACATGAGCATGTTGCTTTGAATTTACTCAACTCAGTTAAGTGGAACCAGGTCACWTAACATGGTTAAGTAAATCCAACATTTCATTTTTAGAGTGTGGGATTGCGCATAAAGTTGGCCAAAATTGCTTCTTTTTCACTTTTAAAACCGCTTTTCTTTGCACAGTAATTAAAATATTTGTATCAGAAAATCGTCTGCCTTCTCCTTCACGTGTGCTTTTGTAAAACTTGGAAATRAGCTGAGAGTATGTGGGATAATTGAAAGTTTTTTGTGCGGATAATTGGCCCGGGTTTTTACGCGCGGCTCTTGCGCACGGAGAGAGAGGTGTGGTTTAAGAGTTCCTCAGCGCGCATCAGGTGTCCATCCCTCACTATATATAATGGAAGCCCGTGTGGACCGAGGAGACAGAAGCAGGACAGGAGCACCGAAGAGGACAACATCATCACAGCAACAAGACAGAAACTGTAGGTCCGAGGACTCTTTTTACGCATTGAGTCCAAGTGACAAAACTGATGCGTCAAGTTTTATTTTCACTTGAACCAAAAGTTAGTTTGGTCACCTCTCTTCTCTCCACAGATGGCCAGAATGCTGAGATCGTGGCTGATGTTCGCGGCGGTCGTCCTCTGCCTCCTGGTGTGTTGGAGTGGCTTCGCGGACGCCTATCCCCCCAAACCGGAGAGCCCCGGCACCAACGCCTCACCGGAGGAGTGGGCCAAGTACCACGCTGCTGTCAGGCACTACGTCAACCTCATCACCAGGCAGAGGTCAGGCTCGTTTTTAAATTCATTTTTTTTTTTAGTTCAGAACAAATTTAAAAATAATAATAAAATAATGAAAAATCACCACAAACTGATTATAAACCTCTAATTTTGGGGTAAATGGGACCAAAATAAGCTGATAAACTGATTTGTTTTTGTAATCATGGCTGGCATGAAGTAGATCCAGTCTTCCCTCTTCTTAAATCCCTCTCATGTTGTGGAGTGACTTTAAATAACTCCATTAAATCTTTTTAAACCCACGCCTGTAATCCCCAGCCTTGAAATGCCTTCTTTTTGCTTCTGTTTAGGCGAAAAACTAAGCAATAAAAGAACAGTATTAAACTTGTATTTCCTCTTAAATGAACCCATTTCCTGTGTAAGTAAACCAGCTGGTTATGTTTCTCYGCAAAACTTCAGTTTTCAGAAGACATCAAAGTCAGAGCCTGAAATCCTCCTATTTCACCTCAGATAATTGCAYATCTGATTTGTGACAGAGATTGGCAAAAAAAAAAAGCACAAAGACTCAGCAGGGTGCTTGCAGTTTACCTCCCTTTATTCACAGCTTGATGATTCCTGAAAAACAGGGCGAAAAAGGGATTTCCGAAGGTTGAAATTCATAGCATAGTTGATTGGGGGGGTCACAGCTGAGAGCACGCTTTGGAAAGCGTGGATGCTTTCCACGCTAATGTTTGATTGCTGCCATTACATGCAAGTGTTTGATTTCTTCTTCTTCTTCTTCTTCATGTAGGTATGGGAAGAGGTCGTCGTCCCCCGAGCAGGCAGTGGCTTGGCTGTTGCTGGGGSCCGATTCTAGCCAAGACCCAGAGCCACGGTGAGAACAACTCCACAAGGAGTTCAGTGATAGTTGAATAAAAGTGACAAATCTGATTACATTTTGAGTGTGTAAAATGTGCAAAGACAGCCTGATGCTGCTATTCGTTATTAAAACCCTATAGGAGTCCAGCATAAAGAAAAGGAAGGACAAATTAATTCAGTGCTCGTCAGTCCTTTAAAATAGTATGTTGACACCGGAGCAGCTAATCTGCCAAATCTATGGGTATCTCATATTAGCAAGAATTAAAACTTCATAAATATTTGTTTTTCCTCTCTCTTGCAGCTCTAACAGTGTCGATCTCTGGTAAACGAACCCAAAATYAACCTCCCCTTCATCACCACCAATCAAAACCTTCACAAGGCCACCTGCACTGGACACATATTTAATTATTCAATGTGCATGCAAATCTCTTTTTTTTTTCTTATGTCTGTATGCCTCTGTCAGTGACTGTATGTATTTGTTCTTTCAATAAAATTGTACATAATTTGTATCAAAAAAAGAGTCTTTGAAATAAACATCTGAGTGAGAATAAACAGACATCTTATGATTTTTATTTTATTTTATTTTATTGGGCATGCTATTCGCAGCCACTGCCACTAGGTGTCGCCATTATACCTCTGAACGCACCTGAGCAAGTTCCTCTTCTTTATTGTGTGTTCATATCGACGCCAGCAGAGCGGCATCAACTTCACGCAGGGCTGCGAGACAAAAAGACGGACCACGAACACCTTATTCTGGACACAGCAGCGGTTGTAGCTGAACAATGTGGCTGTTTGTACCGACACGGGAGCCGTTTTAGACAGAGGCAGCAGGTTTTGCGTGTAGCTGGTGAATTAAAGCAGGACCTCCCGCCGCCCTTCAGCGACTGGAAGGTGTGTTTTTTGCTGCATCTCGTGAAGCGAGCAGCATCCGGATAAAAGGTGACCCGAGCGGCCAGGTGAGCGCTTTGTTGTGTTTATCAAAGGCGTCGCGTTCAGGTTTTGTTTGCGAATAGCTTTCTTTTTATTGAGCTTTGGATTGAGGTAAAGCCGTACCAGATATGGGCTACATGCAGCGTTACTTYGTGACATTCTTTAACTCATTTGTTGCTTCGTAATCCTTTAAAGCCCACCGCGTCACTTGCATCGTTTACCGTCAAATCTCACGGTCATTTCTCGAGGTTACGGACATGGAGCACGCGAGAATTCCCCACACAACAGGCTCGTGCATGTATTTCACCTTTATTTGATCTAAACCAGTAGCTTTGTGTCGTTTTTTTTGCCATGCTAACATAATACTCCCCAACACCGTGACAGAAAAACACAATACTCAATTTGACGCCGAATTAAATGTCGCCTGTGGTTTATTTTCCTGTTCACAAAGACTGGGCAGACGTCATGCACCTGTTCGTTGTCATTGCGCATGCGCACACCGCATCTTTGCGGTCGCTTCAGCGAGCTAGAGGGCACGTGCTGCTAGTATGTAATTATGATATAATAAACTTAATGCACATATAAGGTATATACAGTTCATACATCAAATGATTTCAATTTTTCCACTTAATTGTTATAAACTGTTAAAAATAAATTGATGTCTGAAGTTTGAGCTGTAGCTGCACTGTAAAAAATGAAATGTTGGATTTATTAACCATGTTATGTGACCTGGTTCCACTTAACTGAGTTGAGTAAATTCAAAGCAACATACCAGTTTTTTTAGCCAAAGAACATGAGTATGTTGCTTTGAATTTACTCAACTCTGTTAAGTGGAACCAGGTAACATAACATAAGTAAATCCAACATTTCATTTTTAGAGTGTGTATTGGCACCCTTCTAAATCCTAAGAATCATTTTAGTTTAAAACAGCATCAAGTGTTTTTGAGTCACATCCTGTTATGCTTTATTAGAAGTGAACTGCATGTTTGTGACTCCTAAGACAGATAACTGCAAAGTAATTAGAACATGTTGTACTCGTTTTTCATATGCTTACATTTCCATGATCACACTCACAAAAAAAAAATAAATAAATAAAAAATAAAAAGTGTGCATTTGAGTTTCTTGAGGGTGAACAGAAAAGCTGTTTAAGACTGCACAGTGCACTAAAAAACAGATGTGTTGGATTTAACTAAGTTATGTCGCATTTTCTTTAACAGTAAATATGAAAGTTGCTTTACGTTTACTGAACTCAGCTGAGTGAAACCACTTCACATAACTTGGTTAAGTAAATCCAACACCTGTGATTTCTTCGTGTGTTTTTGCTTTTCCACCATCGTCTGTCAACTTTAATCTGTGGCGGCCTCTAAAATGTTGCTGCTGCAAGTTTTTACATTTGATAAACGAATACACCAGGTTTTATTTAGTCTYTTGTTTATTCACAGCTCTATTGGGTCAAAAGTTATTTATCCAAGCATAAAATTTAAACCAGTTTAAATGGGGTTCTGGATTAAAATGCCAGAACGTAGCAATATTTTTTTTGATTGAAACTGTCACAAATCAATTTATGGAAAAACACGGCGAAAGTTATTTGTTTTTCTCATTTTTTTAGAAACGTTTTCATGTTGCAGAAATTTCTAAATCAAGTCTCATGTATTTACCCCATACATAAAGGGGACATGTCATGTAAAACCCACTTTTTTAGCTGTTAAATGCATTTTGTTGCGTACTAAGAGTCTCTGGGAGTGCAGAAAAGTTGAGTAGTCTCTTTGGGTAGATATCGTTATATTCTGTTTGAGTCATATTTTTCAACCCGTTCAGTTTTCTCTATTTATGATGACATTTTCTGAACAATTACGTCACAGTATTTATGACAGAACTTCTAAATAAGGTTTCGACTTACCAACTACACATCACTCTCCTCTGGCTCCATCATGTACGGCTCGATGTCCAAGTCTTCTGTTGTTGACATATTTTAATAAATTTGCAAATAAAAAGTTTCTGAGCCCATATATAATTTCTACTGTTCTATCAAACTGGAATGGACCACTCTGGAAGCTGGAGTGGGGTG